TGACTAAAGCCCGTTTCTGAACTCCTAAAATAGACATTTAGATCGGTGCTTCCAGAGAACGAGTTAAAGCATTGAGAGCCCCCGTAGAGCCTTTTTATTTTAGCCTGTACACACCTCACCCGGGGCCAACGCAGGATCTGTCTCTAGCACGCGGCCCTTGCATTGTGCAGACCAGGTTTAAATCAAAGAGATAAGGGATTAATACTATCACGTGGGAGGTCCTTCCACAGCCTAATCCACTTCATTATTATACAGATTCCCCTGCCTACCAGTTCTTTCTTGTATTTCATCCCACTCACTACACACACCCTAAAATTCCTCTCCACGGGAGAGCTGCACACCAGTGCTGACCTCCCCTTTTTCTAAAAAAGGCTTACTATCTGTTTGGCATCACACGGTGCAAGAGCTTCCTATCTGCAAAGGGTTTAGAGTGGTGATTCTCAGGCTGGGGGCGCTGAGAGCGCCTTTTAAGGGTGTTGGCTCGGTATCAGATGTGCAAACACCTACACGATTCACAAAATAAGCCAAGAGATTTCAAACAGGCATCCAGGGTCAAAAACACTGCGACCTACTGTAGTCTTCGAGTTCTTCGCAATACAATTCCTGCCCCCGCCATCCAAACGAACAGAAAAAATACCCCACAAGTGAAACCTAAGAGCTGACATTTTCTGAGTGGTGCTTTGAGTCTAATGAGGCCAAGAACCACTGGATCAGTATGGTAGGTACTTTTTGTGATGGCTTTTAATTTGAGAACCTCCACAAGTTCCCCTTTCTTGTAAAGAATACAATAGAAAATGAGTATTACCAAGCTTTATAAAACTCTTCCAAGAATCCAATTGCTTGCTAATGACCTTTTATGTTGTAATTTCCAGTAAAGCAAGGCCATATTCATTTAAAGCTTTGCCTAAATCCAAGTTTCTAGACGCACACATTTGAAAGTGTTGGTTCATTTGACCCAGAAAAGCATTATCCATATAATCTAAAACATATTAAAGCTTATGTCAGGTTTCTCAAAAGAAAGGCTTAGATTCCTCTAATGTTTTAAAACCAAAGTGATAGCATAACAAAGATGAGAGGACAAATGCAGAATTAAAAATAATCATAAAGATTTAGATACGCTGCAGTTAAGTGAACATCGTTACAAAGGTGGCAAGGATTTGGGGGGGAAGCGATATCCTTCATTGTATAGCATCATTTGTCTGACCTAAGGCGGCAAGGCATTCTTCATATCACCGAAAGATAGCTTGCATAATTCCTGGACTACCATGGTCACATCACTCTAACACTACCATTGTTACAAAGGCAACAGAGATAAAACTCCCATAAAAATAAAAAGCTGGTTTAAATTTTAAACTGCTGTTGCTGTGATTTTCATCTGTTCTTTGCCTGTGGCCCCCATGTGACAGCTCCAGCTTTTTATTTGTGAAGACAAAGTGAAGTGAGGCACAGAAGCTAAAAAGGACCAAAAATGTAATACCAAAAAAAGAGAGAGAGTGAAACAGTAACAAGGAAGAAATAAGAAAGGCAAAAGTTGGAGAATGGCAAGGAGAGTAAAGCTATGCTCATAAAAGATGCAGTTAGAATACAGGAAGTCCAAAGTCTGAAAATACACAATTAAAAACAACAACTTCGTTTTGGGCTTCTCATATCCCGAAGCTCAGTTGTCACCTCCAAGGGTTTAGGATGTCACCCCAAGTACGACAAAATGTTAAGCTTGGTGCATAATCTGAGCCAAGTGCATCATCTTTAATATACCATAATTCACTGATGGCAGACACAACTCACGCTCTTCTCATTAGCTGAAAATCACATCACTGACTTCGCATCGTCCCCTTCAGCTACTAGATGATTTATTACCTGGCAGCAATTCAAAAATAATGTTTGCGCTAATGCTGCTTTCACTTTCAATTGTATATCCCTCCACCTGCATTCACCTGTACTTGAGCTAGTACAGGGACTGTTTACTCTACCCATGAAGGGCCAGAAACAGCTCTGTCCAAATGTAGGCAAGTCGCATCTGAAATCTTCCTCTGTACTGTCAGACATTTGCCATACACACTAGAAATCTTTGGTTGTAATTTTAAATAGAAGCGGCCACCAGTTACTCCAAAAGCATTATACTAACAGTCAAGATCTTGTATACCACTATAATGGACTTAATTTGTGTGATTACTTTGAAATGTTACAGTAACACAACTCTCTGTTGTACCCATCAATTACCAAGACTCAAAAGTAGAAGATACCCCAAAAGGACAATGCCCAGAAATAGATGTAAACTCCATGAAACAGAACAACAGATGAAAAATAAATAGAAGATGAAGTAGAGTTTAAGGGTCCATGAAATCCTGTTACAAACCAATCTGTGCATGCACTTTCACCAGTGTCGTCTCCTCCACATGGGTGCTTGGCATAGTAGCTGGCCAGGTCAAGATTACAGACCATAAAAGCTGCACTTCTCTCCATAAGGCAGACAGCGCTGAACTATGCAGGGAATCAGGAAGAATGGAAATCAAGATGTTGTAATACAAATCCTTCAGAACGCTTGAATGCAAGTGTCACCAGCGATCAGAGCTAACCGCAGGGAAGAGCTGCTTTTTGTGTTTTTTAAACGTTTTATGGATCAAAGTAAAAAAGTACAATGGTGTGTTAAAATGTCCTTGTATTATGGTGGTGATCTATGCCATTGCTTCATTATACTTGCAATTAACATCTGATCACAGGAAAACTCATAACATTTGAGTCTCTATTCCCATGAAATATTTCCGTGCGTAAGGAAAACAAGATGGCTTTGGTCATTTTATCAAAGTACCGAACTGCATTTTTCTACCATTCACTGTTTTAATTCTCTGAATAAGAGGCTCTGCCCCAGAAAACCGTCATCCACCCTCTCCGTAGCGTATGCCACTTAGAATAATAAAAAATGCTGCACATATTGATCATACAGAAAACCAAGTTATTTGCATAAATTAGAGTTTATTAAAGCCAAGGTACAAAGTTGTTGGGGTAATATACAATATTGTTATTGGTATTTTATGTTTCCACAAAGTTGAAGTTAGAGTTTGCATTTCTCTGATGAAATTTTAGAACTAAAAAGGAAAGTTAGTAGGTACAGTTCATGGAGTTAAGGGGTTGGATTGGATAGCTTCTTGAGGTCCTTTCCAGCTCTATTGTCTTAGGATTCTAGGCACTATTCCAGCTAGAGATGAAGAATTCTCCAAATCCTTGAAAAGCATAACAAATAACAGTGCTCGTTTGCGAGTCTTAAGGCAACACTAAATACAAGAGCTGGTTGAACTAACTGTAGTGTATAATGAGGAAGTATCTCTTTACAGAAGTGTAGAGCCCTGTAGTGGTGCTCACTGTTCTATGTTTTAGAAGCCATCAGAAACCAAAGCACCAGTGCACACTGAGTTAGACTTGTATGTTTAGCTATGTACTAGTAAACGCGGTTATGAGGGAGCCACTTACTGTTTATCTTGTTGTGTAGCAACCACAAAACCACTGAACCTAACACATTTCAATAGTCCTAATTCAATTAAGCAATCTGAATGGTTATTTATCATGGAGAATTTTCTACAAATTTAATTTTACTTTGATGCATTTTAAAAAACTGGTCTCTGACCTGGGGACAGGGAGCAGCAGAGATGGACCCAGGAGCCCTGCCATGCCTGGGACCAGTGGTGATCTGTGCACCGGGCCGCCAGCTGTGCAGGCAGGCATGCACTACAGCAGGCTCCAGCCCTGCCTGTGAGATGAGCAGCAGCGGCAGCCAGCAAGCCATGATCTGGCCTCTCTGACCCTCCTCTTCAGGGCAAGTGCAGAGGGACTTGGGCAGTTGTTGCCAAGACTGAGCCACTCGCACCGCCACCTACCTGGGACAGGGCCAGGCCACGGCATGGCAAGGGACAGGGACCCCAATCGGCATGGGACACACAGGGGACAGCTCTGCCCTCCATGACAGCGAGAAGCAGCCAGGCTGAAGACAAAAGCCTGGGGCACAGGGGAATCCCCCTGCTCGCGAGGGTAGGGGCAAGGGGGCACGGTGCGGGTGATGGGTGGATGAAGAGGGTGAGCCTGAGGGAATGCAGTGGGGGCCAGGCTGGTCTGTGGCAGCCAGCTTCAGGCAAGCTACAGTGCTAACCTTCAGGATCTCCCATGCATACAGTTTGAGCCTCACACCAGCTCAGGCCACCTGTCCTGCAGCGCTCTGAGGAGCTGGTGCCTAGGCAGTGGCTGTGCCAAGCTGAGCGTGCCACCGGGGCAGCTGGGCTGGCTGGAGCTGCCGCCTCTTGGCCTGGTTCAGGGGCCGGCGTCCCGGGGCCACGGCGCCCTGGCAGGCCGCACGGAGCCGAGGCAGGAAGGGAGCAGGCTAGGCGTCTACAGTAAATGACTTTTATTTTTAAAAAAAAATGAAATAACCGTGAACATATTAACAGGCCTGCAGGTGGCACTACAGTACAGCTGGATATAAGGTAGATACATTTCCCCATGTACCCGGACAATGAAATCCACCGCATCAATGCTGACATTTAGTTAATTCTGAATACAGTTCTATCAAGCAGGAACGTTTTACTTAAAATAGTTCTGGACAAAGCTGATATCTGAAAATTAGTTTTCCTTCACTTCTGGAAAGGATAGAAGCCCCGAGCTAGCACCGGCACCGGGTGAACTATTGCCTGGCCTTACCAGTGCAGGAGGAGATGCACAACATCTCCAAGTCAAAACAAAGTTCATGCCCCTTTTTACTTCTCATTTTGAGGAAACTGGAAGGGGAGGGTCAATTTCTCTTAGCTCTCCTTTGGCTGATTTTGTGCTATTTTGGACTGATTTCTACAAATCATTTATTGATTTTATTGAAAGGAAGACTAAATGTAATGTGCCTTTCCTTGCAAATCCAGGAACAGTTGTGGTATTTCAAAAATACTAAAAATATCTACTTTCATGAAATATTAACTGTTTCACTACAAACCTAGTTTTTCACTAAATACACAATTCTCCTAATTCTGGAGCCTCCTGGGAAAAGCAGTGGGTTCTCCCTGTATTTCTGCAGTTCTACAGTGTATAAACGGCTACAAGAAGGGGAGTGTGGAGAACAGCTTTATCCCTTTTCCTTGGCCTGTATCAATCACACTAGGAAGGATTAGCGTGTATGTTTCTGCAGTTGGGCTCCTGGTGGTCACACTTCTGCAGCAGCTATCTACTTAAGTCTGCAATAGGATACCCCACCTCCAGCACATTCCTTCTAATTTCTTGGAGACTAACTAGGCATGAGGAAAAAAAATGTCACACTCTTATACCATTTCTAATTATAATATGCAGGAACACCATGTGGTTTCCATGCAATTCCAATTTGCAGAAGGCCACAGGAAAGGGAAACGGCACCTTTCATCAGACAGGAATTCTGCATGTAACAGTGCAACTTCCCATTAGACCTTCAGTGTTGAGGCAGCGTAGAAAACAGTGGCTGAAGAGTGTGTGTAATACTGACCACACCAGCTCTTAGTGAGAGGCTTCTGCTCCCGCAGAGGCAGTCAAGTGCAGTCCCTGTATGTACTGTGAGCAAAGGCTTACTTCACAGGGGATTCAGAATTAGCAACTCCTAAGACCTAGCCAGTTTGGATTCGTGAGCCTTCAGTGTGCCAACAGCATCTTTCACTGCATGGTAGATAATGTTCTTCACCTAAAACAAAAAAACAAAGAGCCCCCACAAAAATCAACACATATGATTAAATCTGGCACAACGAGCAGCATCTTCAGTTTAACAAGAAATTACTCCCACAGTTTTAAACAAGCAGAGCTAGTTAAACTCTGGCAATTAGCTCTATAGTCATTGGAAGATAATCGCACAAAAGAGTTGGTCATTGACCAAAGGATATTGGTCTCGGAATCGCAGAAAAGGAGGGCTGGAAGGGACCTCAGGGGGTCACATCTAGTCCAACTCCCAGCTCAAAGCAGGACCAGCCCCAACTACATCATCCCAGCCAAAGCTTTGTCTAGCTGGGTTTTGGAAACCAGTGCTTCACCACCCTCTTGGTGAGAAAGTTTCTCCTAATATCTAACCTCAATTTGCCTTGCTGCAGCTGGAGCCCATTGCTCCTTGTTCTGTCATCTGCCCCCACTGAGACCAGCCCAGCTCCATCCTTTTTGCATCTGCAGGGAGGTGAAGGCTGCTATCAAATCCCCCTCGGTCTTCTCTTCTGCAGACTCAATCAGCCCAGTTCCCTCGGCCTTTTCTCACCAGTCTATGCCCCAGCCCCCAAACCATTTTCACTGCCCTCCGCTGGACTCTCTCCCACTCTCTCTCTACGTCCTTTCTGTAGTGGGGGGCGCACAGCTGGACACAGGACTCCAGATGTGACCTCCCCAGTGCTGAATAGAGGGGAAGAATCACCTCCCTCCATCTGCTGGCAATGCTCCTGCCAATGCCGCCCAGGATGCCGGTAGCCTTCTTGGCACCAAGGGCACACTGCTGGCTCCTGTTCAGCTTCTTGTCCCCTGTCCCCCCCAGGTCCTTTTCTGCAGAGCTGCTGCTTAGGCAGTCGGTCCCCAGCGTGTACCTCCCAAGTGCAGGACTTTGCACTTGTCCTTGTTGAACCTCATGAGACTTCTTTGGCCCAATTCTCCAATTTGTCGAGGTCTCTCTGAATCCTAACCCTACCCTCTAGCGTATCTACTACTCCCCACAGCTTGGTGTCATCTTCAAACGCGCTGAGCGTGCACTCCATCCCAACTTACAAATTGTTGAAGACATTGAACAAAACCAGCTCAAGGACCAACCCCTGGGCACTCCACTTTCTACCAGTTGCCAACTAGACATTGAGCCACCAATTACTACCCTTTCAGCCCAACAACCCAGCCAGTTTTCTTTGCACCTTACAGTTCATTCATCCAACCCATACTTCCTTAGCTTGCTTGTGAGAATGTTGTGGGAGATGGTATCAAAAGCCTTGCTAAAGTCAAGGTATATTATGTCACCTGCTTTCCCCACAGCCACAGAGCCAGTCATCTCATCATAGAGGGCAATCAGGTTGGTCCGTCATGACTTGCCCTTGGTGAATCCATGCTGGCTGTTCCTAATCAACTTTTCTTCCAAGTGTTTAGAAATAGATTCCTTGAGGACCTGCTTCATGATTTCTCTAGGGACTGAGGTAAGGCTGACTGATCTGTAGTTTCCCGAATCCTCCTTCCCTTTCTTAAGGATGGGCGCTAGGTCTGCCCTCTCCAATTGTATCGTCTTGCATTGCTAGGCTTTAATTCTTCCTCTCTTAAAATACCTACTTGCCCCATTTAAACGTTGCCACAATATTATTACTCTTCCTTCCCTCTGAAATGTCCTTTGTATTCCAAAACATTATTAATGATCTCTGTCACTCGGCCAGAGACCTTCTTAGCAGCTCATTCACACATTTCTTGGGCTACCAATTTAAAATGTCTTAATCTTAGTAGATGCTGTTTTGAATCCTCCTTAGTAACTGGGGTAGTGCACTGGAGCTTACTTCTTCAGCTATATGTTATAAGAGCATGCCATCCCACATCTTTCAACATTTGTAACAAGTATTTATGGAACATTAAACCTTTCCTGCGTCAGTTTTACGGTCTAGCAGCAAGGCTTCTTTTGTTCTTAGGCTTCTCGTACTTAAAAAAAAAAAAAAAAAAAAAAAAAAAAGAAGTCTCCTAAGCCCTGCCAGCCATAGATCTTTCCCAAGACTTTTGGCTTCCCTTAGAAATTAAGTGTAGAAAATTAATAATTTATGGGTTTTATTTCCTTTCTTCCATTTGTTATAGATGTCTGTCTTACTTTTAACTGCTGCTCTCACTACAGCACTGAACAAGAGGATTAAACAACTCTGTTTAAGCCAGTCCTTTTGTATTAAACATTTTTCCAATGCAGAGAACAAAAGGAGAGCAACGAGGAACAGACATCTTTTCAGTTCATTAGTCTCTTAGTACCTTTACCCTGGCTAGTTGCCTAAATATATGCCATAGCTTCATCCTAAAGCACACGTGCTCACACAATCTCTTCAACATCCTTTCCAGCTGATGGTCTAAAGACTAACTCATACAAGTCAGCTCCTTTGTCATATATACACAAAATCATGATCACCACCCATTCTTGCCACCAAAGGAGAAAAATCCTAAACCTCCATAGCAGCGTTGCTCAGACAAAATCAGGCCTATTCAGACTAGTAATGACATTTCTTTTAAAGACTTCAAGTCACCAGTCAGCACAGAAATAGTTCCCCCAAGATGGACTGACAGTTACCTGCAGCTTATCTTCATGGTTCGTGTGAGTGTTAGACAAATGTCTGAACTCTTGAGTCAGGCGGAAGCAGTGCTTTACATGTTCTGGAGATACAAAATCTTCTGCCACTTTAATACAGCTGTACAGATTATGAACCTAAAAAACCCCAAAACATTATAGCAGTGGATGTTAGACACAGCAAAACTGAATGACCCAATATAGAATTAATACAGAAGAATTCCATGTACTGTAGGTTCCTGCTCACCTAGCTACCAGAGACTGAAGCTACCCAGTTTCACGCAGAACAATTCACAGAATTAGTCTCATGTCAGAAGTGCAAACACTCTACTGAGCGACAGCCAACCTCTCCCTATAGATGCAGGACTGCTCGCTACACAACCTTCTCTGGTATTTTGCTGACCAAGTGTTAGAGGACTACAGTGATGGAGCTTCTACCACTTCCACTGGGAGTCCGGTCCAGAGCCTAAGGAAATCTCAATGTCAGGAAGTTTTTCCTAAAATAGTCAGTCTCAGTGTTCATTTTCTTAATTTTCTCCCAGTAATTTAGTTATACACCTACTCCCGTGGTACCGCTATGCTTACTTATTCAGTTGTTTAAACTGTACTCAAGCATCACATTGATAAGAATGTTACAAACAGATTTCTATAGCAACTGTCCTCCAAAACCGAAGGGCTCAAGTCAGTGGTCATATTTCAGGGCGCTTTTGGGAGATGAAACAAACTTGGCTGTAAGGTTCTTTATCATCTGTGACACTACACTTACCTGGTGGGGTGCACCTGCAGGGATGAACACTGCATCTCCTAGGAACTGTACTATTGCCCAGCCTTGTACACCATACTCATCATAAAGACGCTTACGCAGGGTCTGGTCCAAGTACCAACTTTGGTCATGAATTGGGTCATGATCTGGGGGATTTTCTTGACCTTGTTCTTCTCCAACCTAATACAAAAATATGAAACACATCCAGAGGTAGCAAGGTTCAGTACTTCTCCCATCTCACATAGCATTCTGAGCCAACCCTGACAAATATGATTTTAAGCTACTACAATGAGAAATACTAGCAGCGCAGAACATAAAGGATTTCCAAGCAATGGCATCTGTACTAATTAATATCCCTTCCATATCTGTCCTTGAGATGCTAGCATGGGCAAATCATTTATATTTTCTCCATGCTTGGAAGCAAAGTAATCCCAGTCTTCTCAAGGACGGAGTTAGGCTTTTCTTTGTGGCTACAGGGGACAGGACTAAGAGCAATGGCCTCAAAAATGCAGCAAAGGAAGTTTAAGCTGGAAGTTAGGAGAAACTTTCTGACTATGAGGGTCATCAAGCACTGGAACAAGCTACCTAGGGAAGTTGTGGAATCTCCGTTACTGGAAATTTTCAAAATCAGGTTAGATCAGCACTTGATTGTTATGGTTTAGTCAGGGATGATCCTGCCTTAAGCACAGGGCTGGCCTAGATGCCCCCATGAGATCCCTTCCAGTCCTTCTTTCCTATGATCCTATGACTAGCCACACACACCATTCCATTCAGTCACATTCACAGAAGAGGGCAGTGGTTGTAATTTCTGCAGGTGAATATTTTTGTGGTAAGGAACACCAGCTGCACAAGATTCAACCCGAATCCTCCAAGTCCCTATAGATGAACCTTTCTTGGCCAACAGTAAGACACAAGCCTTCTTTGTCATCGATATACCTTCCGCAGAAGTTCACGGATCTTCTCAGCATCCTTGGCAGCATAGATGTGCCACAGAGCTCCAGGCTTTTCCTTCCCTTCGTGGATTCGCTGCTTTGTTACATCATCAGCATCTCCTTCATCAATTGTTTTCAGCACCTCTGCAAAGAAGATCCCCACAAAAAGCTGAGTACAATCACAGAGCTTTTATGTCCAATACGTAAGCAGAAATTACCATCATAATCTTTGGACTCGTACCAGTCACTAACTGACTGGGAAGCAGTCTAAAAACTTGGTCATAAAACATTCACATCTAGCCAATCCTTATTTCGCAAATATTTGAAAAACGGTAAGGTGGTTTCCTTCCCCTCCCGTTCAGTTCTCTTCTTCATTCCCCCACAAAACTGCCACTGCTTTCACAAAACGTTGTGAACTATCAGTGGAAAAGGCACTACTAAAGAACAGATTACTTTCTAGACGTGTGAATGTTCACTGAAGATACAGCCTACATTTCCAAGGTGACTTGTTGCATCTGGCCAAAGCTGCAAGACTCTTTAAAGAGACTTGGAAGCCCACATACACATTCCTCTTTCCACAGCGCAGTTTTCATAGGACAGTAAAACGTTTCCAAAACATTACCATCATCATGGGCCCCTTCGCCAATGGGGATCCCAACATACACCATGACATTAACGGCATCAGACACATCCAAGTGTAAGTTGGTCGTACCAACACGTCTGTCTTCCGCAGTTATTAGCCCTAAGAAAAAGGACAGTGTGAAAGACCAGCACTGTAAGACAGACAAGATCCAAGTTCCTGTGAAGAGAACAAACAGAGCTCTTTTTGCAAGCACAGGGGCTTCCTAATGCACGTTTACTTTTGATTTCTCCCATCATCCATGAAACGGTGTACAAAATCAAAGCTACATATTTAGAGACCTGAGCTACAGCTCCCTAGCTTTTCTAAACTGAAAAAGGTTATGAATGCAAAGCAATTTGAAGTAGTACGTTGCGTTCATTACTGTTGCAACATACAGCAATGAAACATTTTTTTCCTAATCCCTTCTTTTACTTTGCCATGCCTGTAAGCACACTGAGCAAGGGACTGAATATTTTTTTGATGGAAGACATTTAAGGAATTTTTGCCTTTTACTTTTAACAGAGGCCAAATAAAGGGGTTGCCCGTTTGGTGGCAACACTTTTTAACAGTCAGATACAACACTGAAGTATTAATTTTTACTTCTGGAAGGCAATATATTATGCAAGAAGTCCTACAAATTCTGATTTTTAAAAGAAGAAAAAAGTTTAAACCAAAATGTGTTCGTTGCATTCCCCACGCACATAAGATGGTACAAAAGAGAAACTGGAAGCAGACAAAACAAGTTAGCTTTCACTAGTATTCACTGCTTTTTTGTTGCCTCATTTCCTACATCTAGTACACTGTCTGACTAAACTACATGCTCTTTGGCGCAAGGACTATGATTTCTTACTGTCTAAAGCCTGTCACATCAGGGTGTTAACCGCACATTTAAGGCAACTGTTGCCTTAACATACAGCTTGCAGAAGTTGGTTCTGCTACCTGCCTAAATTAAAGCACCAAAAACAAAAGACTTGAAAGAGCCCCATTAATCATAATCCCATTTTCACCCCCTTATTGTATAATAGTTGTGATGTCTCTGTAGTAAAGAAACTGCTTTCTCAGAACCTCACAGGTGTTTCACATTTTTAAAGCCAGAAGTCTGATCACTGGCTTAGCAGGCGTACGATTTCATGCAGCAATTCCTGAATTCTAAGTCAGTGACCAGGGGTAGATTTAAGCCCATCTTTTATAAACCGACATCCCAAAGGAAGCTGGCTCAATTAAAAAAGATTTTACAAAGTTTAGTTTTTAAACAACATTTCTACAGTTCACCCTTCGATTATAAAAACAGTTTCCTTCCACATGTCTGCACATTCGCAGGGTCACCAGCTTAAAACAGTTTTGCAACATTAAGACAGATCCAAATAGTTGTTGCTTTAAAGGAAAAAACAAAGTCACGTGTTTGAGGCCTCAACCTACTTTAAATAACTGGTTAAAAACAACCAACCTCCCCCCCATTTCTATCATGATTCAAGCTGTTTTAACTTCAAATTGTTCCATTCTGCTTCTGTCCATCAGACACAGCAAAAATAACTTCATATTTTAGAATGATTACATCCACAAAAGCATGTGCGCCAATTGTTTTGGATATTTTGAAAAATAATCATTAAATGCTAATTGCTTTTAACGCCTGCAGAAATTGTCATCTGCAAATTTCAGACTGCTTCAGGATGCTTATTCAGGGCACGTGCTCTGGCACATTTCCCTCCATTAATATCCAATCTGCTGCACACACAATTTATCTTACAAGGCTAAAAATATACATTTAAGTCTAATAATAGGGTCCAATCTGTCTTTCAGCCTGAGGTCACCAGAACTGCTTTAGCTCAGTCATGGAAAACAGCTAAATATCATTTATATTATAATGTAATATACACTATAATATTACATATATTCATATAACATACACTAGAGAATATAATGTACATTATGGTAATAATTTATAGGGAGGTTTTAAGTTTACTGGTGTGTACATGTGTACACATACGTACTCATGGAGGAAAAAGCAGCACATGGACATCTCTTAGTGTTGGTCCAGTAAGACAACTCAACCTCCTCTAGAGTAAGTTCTCAGACTTAGCTAATGCTTTCTTGCCATACAAACTCCAGTTCTGAGGATATACACAATGAAATAAAGCACAGCCACAAGCTCATCTCCAGCTCTGTTCCTACATACCGTAGGCATTGTACATTTTGGGACCCAGATCAGGACGTACAAAGTAGCTTGGCAGCCTAGAGGCCAGATTTAACCTGCCGTCCCTCTTGGTATACTCCGGGAGAGGAAGATTCTCCATCAAATCCTCAAACCTACGCAGGAAGAGAAGAGAGCAAAGACCCTTTCAGGTCACGGGGCAGGACGAGCAGACGAAGAACAATGGAACACCAACAGAACGGTCCTGCTGGTAAAGCAGTCAGGATCCCCTGTTAGTGCTGTTGCTCCAGATTCCTTACCTTGTAGGCATCATGTCTCTAAAATCCTCCCCTGGAGGCCAGTCCTTTAACTTCAGTACCATCGGCTGTCCATCTTCCGACCTCAGGCGTTCTGCAAGATGAGACACATTTCACTCTGCATGCTGCACCTCTTCACCACCCTCTCAGTCTCATCTCCATAGTAAACTCCTTGTGACGGTGACTTTGTACACTGTCCAGCACAGTGCACACTGCTCCCTGGTCCATAGTACAAATTAACTTTACTAGTCAAAACAGGAGCCACAGCAGAGTCTAAAGGAGATTCCTGCAACTTGCCAAATCCCTACACACCAGATCCCCCCGCCGAACCACTTCTCTTGACATCACAGAATTTTACCATTCATTCCTACAGAAGGCAGTTAAGCCAACGCCCAATGCTTATGAAAAATCTCATCCTACATTGTTTTTGCCAACCTGGATTGCTTCTAAAACACAATGAAATCCACTGTGGTCAACGCAAGGGACTGGTAATGCACTGCTCAAATCTCAGTCCGCAGGGTGAGGGACACGCACACAACCTCCAGAAGACATCCACCACGCACAGCCTCTCATTTACCAAATGTGGTGCAGAGCAGAGCAGGACATTAAGAAGGCAACGCTCACAACTGATTTTTACCCATACCTAATTTGACTCAAGAATGAAGCCTAGTCCATTTCTTCTCTTCATACGTGATGCTGACTAGTTTGACTAAAACAGGGGTGCTCAAACAGACCTGGCTGCAGAGCTGTGTCATCCAGCTAGTGGGGCTCCCCAAGGTCTGGAAATCTGGCAGCACGGGAGTGATAATTAATGCTGCCACTGCTCCCCTGATTTCAATTTTCTGGACCCTTAGGGAGCTGCATGGGCCATATAATGTTGCCCTGGGTGCCAGATTACACCAGCATGCAGCTGCACCCATGGGCTGGCCAAGTGCCAACTCCCCTCCACTCATCTGACAATGAAGCCTGGAAGAAACCTCAGGAGGTGACATCTAGTCCAACCTTCTGCTCAGAGCAGGACCAGCCTCAACTACATCATCCCAGACAAGGCTTTTTCTACCAAGATCTTAAAACCACCAAGAATATAGATTCCACCCCCTCTCTGGGTAGCCTGTTCTACCCTCATGAGAAAGTTTTTCCTAATAATGAACCTAAATGTCCCTTGCTGCAGCTGGAGCCCATTGCTCCTTGTCCTGTCATCTGCCCCCACTGAAAACAGTCCAGCTCCATCCTCTTTGCAGCCCCCCTGCAGGGAGGTGAAGGCTGCTATTCAATCCCCCTCGGTCTTCTCTTCTCTAGACTCAATCAGCCCAGTTCCCTCGGCCTCTCCTCACCAGTCCTGTCCCCCAGCCCCACAACCATTTTCATTGCTCTCCACTGGACTCTCTCCAATTCATAGATTCATAGATGTTAGGGTCGGAAGGGACCTCAATAGATCATCGAGTCCGACCCCCTGCCTAGGCAGGAAAGAGCGCTGGGTCTAGATGACCCCAGCTAGATGCCTATCTAACCTCCTCTTGAAGACCCCCAGGGTAGGGGAGAGCACCACCTCCCTTGGGAGCCCGTTCCAGACCCTGGCCACTCGAACTGTGAAGAAGTTCTTCCTAATGTCCAGTCTAAATCTGCTCTCTGCTAGCTTGTGGCCATTATTTCTTGTAACCCCCGGGGGCGCCTTGGTGAATAAATACTCACCAATTCCCTTCTGTGCCCCCGTGATGAACTTATAGGTCTTCTTTAATAAAAGAAAGAGAACCATCAGCAAGGATCTGGTGGTGCCTTTTGATTCCTAATGAAGCTAAGTGTATGAAAACTATGGGTAACTCTTGAGTCCCTGACAAGCTGCCCAAGATAAATTGACTCCTGTGATGTGTTTCACTTCTTGTCCACAAAACAAAACTCCTGAAATGCTAGTTTTTTAGCCTAAAACAGGCTTAATTAACCAGCAGGTAGGGAGGGGTTAGGTGTTCAGCATCTGCAAGGTGGCCACCTTGAAATTATTTGATTCAGTATCAATGCATAGGTCACGCTCATCATCAAGATTTCTTCGGACACAATAATTTAATTGGGAACCTCTGTTTCAATGCATAGGTCACACTCATAATCAAGATTCCTTCGTGCACAATGACGTAATTGGGAACCCGTTGCATCCAGGTGCCTGCCTCTCATAGCCAACTCCTCTTGAATATGAGATCCAGTTCCTCTTGTCAGCCCTATCTGCACTGAGTTTAAATACAGCCAAGGTCAAAAACTTTCCAGAAACCGACCCCTCCACCACGACTCTCTGGGTGCGGCCCTCCAGCCAATTCGCCACCCACCGGACTGTGTAGTCATCCAAGTCACAGCCTCTTAACTTGTTCACCAGTATGGGGTGGGATACCGTATCGAAGGCCTTCCTGAAGTCTAAGTATACGACATCCACCCCTCCTCCTGTGTCCAGGCGTTTCGTAACCCGGTCATAAAAAGAGACTAGATTGGTCAGGCACAATCTGCCTGCCACGAACCCGTGCTGGTTTCCCCTCAGCATAATTTGTCCTGCCGGGCTCTCGCGTATGTGAGCCTTGATAATTTTTTCAAAGACTTTGCCAAGGATGGAGGTGAGACTGACTGGTCTATAGTTGCCTGGGTCCTCCTTCCTCCCCTTCTTGAAAATGGGGACCACATTGTGTCCACATCCTTTCTGAGGGGGGGAGGGGGCAGGCAAAAATGGACACAGGACTCCAGATGTGGCCTCCTCAGTACCAAATAGAGGGGAAGAATCACTGCCCTCCATCTGCTGGCAGCGCTCCTACTAATGTGCCCAGCAAGCTGTTAGCCTGCTTGGCCATATACTACAGGTGCCTCGAGCAGTTATCTTTGGATCTATAAGACACTGCAGAATCCTGCTTATTTGTCAGACCTCCACAAGGAAGTATCCGAGAAACTAGCTGACAGCCACTTCAAAACGTCTGTCTTTTACCTGTATCCTGGACCCGCCCCACCAGTCAGAGCTCAGGCCAAGCCATGGCACAGCATGCCTTTAGCACTGACAAATTACCTTTTCTGGCCATAGGTAAGAGAGATTTTACATTTATCCTTCTAGATGTCTTATGATACTACTGACTATGGCCAATTACAGTCTTGCCTCAAATGTAAGAGGGACTTAAAAAACCCCAACAACAAACAAACCAAAAACAAACCTGGCCCCACTTCCTTATTTATTCAATTTGTGTGTCACTCGGGGGCAGATCTAGAGGGGCTGCAGTGATTCAGCTGCACTCCCCTTACCGACCACACCATGGACGCAGCAGCCGGGTTTTCTTTTAAAGACTCCAAATCAAGTAAGAACTCCCTACTTCCCCCAGCCTCGCCCTCCATGCTCAGCAGCATATCTCCCTCCCCACGCCTGCAACCAGGGAGGGACTATACCACTCGTGCTGCACACACAGCCAGGGCACATGGACCGCTCATGCTGCATGTGGCAAACAAAGGGAAGAACTCCTCTGTGCTGCTTGCACTGAGTGCGTGGCCACTGGGGGTGGAGAGCTGGGCTCCTGTGTGGCAGAGGGACACCAGGCCTGCAGGCTCGCATGGCACGCAGCCTCCAGCTGTTTGGAAGCTGGGGAAGTCCTGAGCAAGTCCATCATTCAGCTGCTTGCTGAATCTAATTTACCCATCTTCAAAGTCTTCCAGGACCCTGGCCCAAGACCTCAGAAAGCGTCTTGTTAGAACAAGAGTCCATGACCCACCCCATCCCTCCGGAACGCTGAAGTGGTCAGCCTCAAGACCAGGGCGGCAAAACGGCGGATCCGGCCAGCAGCCAGACTCCATTTCCAAACAGCCCCTGCCTGCGCAACAGGCCATGGAGACCAGCTGGGAGCCATGCAGTCAGGGTGCACGGCTGGGCAGGGAGCTGCTCCGGGGCCAGGAACTCGAGGTGGGGACAGCATGGGACAGCAGCAGAGCTGCAATCTGCTCCCTGCACATGAAACCTGCACTCGTTACCAGGCAGTGGATCGCAGCTCTGCCCAGGGCCCAGCCCCCACCAGATCCCGGGGTCTCCCTAGCCCCGCCTGCCCATCTTGGTCCTGGCTGCAGTCCCATCCCAGCCACCTGGCCACATGTCCTGCCTGTGTGCCTGGCAGTGGGTATGGGGCAGACAGGCAAAGGTGTCTGGGAAGCAGGGCTCGGCCTGGTAGTAGCTGCCAGAAGGAGCTGCCACTGCAGAGGTGACGGGATATGGAGGGCCGGACTTTGCCCACCCCTGCTCAAGACTGATCCTTACAAATAGGGCTTTCTTTGCAGCATGACCATGGTTCTGGGAGGTTGTCACCAGGGGATAAAAACATGGAGGTGGCAGGACTTGCAATCACAGCAAAATGTAGAACCAACTTCAACTTTACCACGAATGCAACAAGAGGGGGAGAGAGAAAAGATCAGACTACCAATCTCTTGCAGTACAGACCTTCTACTTATTTATTTTTAATACTGTTGTAATAAGAGTTCTCTGCTCCAAAGTAGTCTGACTGTACTAAGCTACTTTTGGCCTAACTTCATTCTTCACAATTTCTCCACCCAGAAGTCACTCTCTAGTGAGCCTTGCAAGGAGCAGCTGTGGCTTTACACCTCGAGGGAGAGCTACTGGAACATGTAACCTGTGGTATCTGTGACAGGGATTAGAAGAAGAATGAGATGTGCTGTTCTACCACGAGTCTGCACTTACTAGAAATTATTTCAAAGCCATCCCAGAAGTCACGCACTTTCACATCTGAAATTATGGCACAGTTTCTGCAGTTCACCAGATCAACATCCTGGTCTCCAAACTCCAGACTGAAGGCCTCTGGTTTCCAGAGCTCTGACTTCAACTTCTTATGGACTCCAGAAACTAGCACAGGCTACAGAAAAGAAAGGCAGGTGGCTCATTACATTATTAGCCAAATTTCCTACTAATTTAACTACATCTCTCTCCTTCTCAGGAGCTGGATTTTCTTGGCCATCACCAGAGAAGGAAGGCATCAGATACCAGCTCCTTTTCACATAAAAGTACATCCCCATTACATCGAGCAAATTAGCAAAGTCAGAAAATCAAAATTCAGTTCCAAGCCATTTTCAGGTGTCCTTACAAGAAAGTCTAGTACCATATAGCACCATATACACCCCCCTCTCCCCCCAAGATCCAGTAGGCATATGTAACTATATCTGGCTGTACTTCTAGATAGACTATATCCACTCCTAGATGAAAGGAAGTCTAAAATACAGCAAATAGGAATGCCACAAAATTAGCTTTATTTTATCCCTTCCTTTATTCTTTACACAGAACTGTACGTTGTCATCGACTATTCAGAGCAGGAATAGAGGAAGCTTTTTTTCCACTCTCCAAAATACCCGCTCCAGTGTTACAACCTGGCTATTCATTTTCACTTACCTGGCCCTGTTTCCAACACTCCCTGAAGATCTTCCAGTTGTTTTTGTTGCTGGGATCATGAAGGCATAGGAGCCTTCCATCACAGAGCCAGGAATGAGACGTGTGTGGATCCAGAACATTCAGTCCCATTACCATTTCCTTCACCTCTTTTTGAGTGTCAGCCAAGTTACTTGTTCGCTTTGCAGCATCAGATGTCTTCTTATTTTCCACCACAGAAGCAATGATATGATCTAGGAAGTTGGGCAGACTGGCTTTACCTTTGGCCCCCTAAAGACACAAATATACAGGCCAAGTTCAGTTTTCACAGACGTTTACATAAGGGCAATATGCGTCTGCCCTAACACCCTCTTGTATTTCAACCGTGGTAACTGTGTTATCACAAGACCTTGTACGCAAGTCAGTACACGGTTGGGAGGGGGTACCGACAACAGCATGTCTGCTGCTGCTGCCGCCAGTGCTCTGCAGAATGAAGGCTTGGAAAACTTGCTGCATTCTAACAAGATTAACTGCTAAGCCTACAAAAATTAATACTGACGTCACAATATCAGAAGCTGTTCCCTCCTACCACCATCAGTTTTATTCCTATCAAGTTATGAAATGTTCATTTTTTCCTGTTTCCCTTAAATGCGTTTTATGCACTAAACAGAAACAGACCAGTTAAGATCGCTTGCTTTTGTTGTTCTGGTTTCTGTTAAAAGGGAGACAGCAATCCCTGAATATATAAGCAGGAGTAGCTCGCACAGGAATAGGAAGGCAGCATTACCTCTGTATGCAGCATAATAGAGACTGTTACTTAATACTGTGCCCAGTTCTGCTGTCTACAGCTCAGAAAGGACACTGAAAATTTGGAAGAGATTCAAGAGGAGAGCTACAAGTGTTCGAGGCCTTGAAAAACATGCCTTACAGTGAGAGATTTATACTCGAGCATTAGTTTAAACAACAGAAGATTAAGAGCTAGTTTTGATCGTGACCTACAAGTGCCTCAATAATAAAACTGTTTCTGGTAAGAAATGGTACTTTCTAGCAGGAATAAAGGTATAATGAGAGCTTGTGGCTAAGAAACTGATGGTGCTCAAGTTAAGACAGAAGACAGCGGCCCAGTTGCTACGATGCTATCTGCTCCACTGCAAGTCATTTGGGCATACTGTTTGATTCACTTGAAAATTCTGGAGGTCAAATGATTTCAGTGAAACTGAAATGGTGCAGAAGTTGTACATTTTAATAAAGGAAATCCCAATACAGATAACTTCACAACCTTACGCGTGTCTCCTCTTCAAATGCTAGTAATTCAGACTTTTACAAAGTTCTGACCCTAATATTTGAGATCAGAAAAGCAGCAAGGGATCTTTGTTGATGAATTTGTCGCTGCTCTTGATAAGGAGTAGCAACAATAACTGACATGGTTCTGAGAAAGGAGAAAAAGGATAAACCTGTGGTTTACTGTGCCACGTTGCTAGGAAGGGTATGCAGTTACAATGGTAGGGAATAGAAGTGTGAAGACTTTCCTTCTGTAGCCACAGAAGAAATTCCTTTTGCCTTAAGGCATTTCACAGTTATCTACATCTTAGCTTGTGGATATATGTTCTCAGGGCCATGACATTTTCAGAAGCTCTTAAAAGCTGAGTCACAACTACTGGTTTCACTTTCCTGTGACAACAAAGCTTCCCTTTGTAGTATGTTCCAATCCTCTTGCCAACAAGCTGAACTATTAAGACCCCACCTGCCCTGGCTCACAGAGTTCAAATGTCTTGCTCTAAACATTAGAGCAAGGCAGTGTTACTCTAAACCAATAATGACAGATGCCAGGAGGGTAATGAACAGGGGGACTGTGCTCACACCAGGTACGCCTGGTTCAATGCTCCCCTTCCAAAGCATCTACTTCTGCCACTGTCGGAGACAGGATACTGGGCTAGATGGACCACTGGTCTGACTCAGTAAGGTGCTTCTGCTGCTCTTACTAGATCGCACTGTGTATCATACCAGTCTAACACCATCCCTTACCAGAATCCGAACACCTTCCAGAATTAAAACACAGAACAAAAAGCTCGCAGTGAGAGCCAAGTCCCTGGTGGAGTCAAGGGACCGCGGCACTTCTGAAGGTAAAGATCCTATTTAGGGAAGGGCTTTTTGTTACAGATTGCTCATACTGGTAGTGCTTGCCCACTTCTTAAAGAGGCTTAAGTTATATTTCAACAAGGAATTCTTGTTCCAGAATAAGAGTTTTCAGTTTGGAAGTACTCAGTAATAGCCACTGTCTTTTAAATTCACACCCTACCTTAAACTAGAATCAACTTCAAGCGTGGGCAAGCCCTTAGGGTTTTCTAAGGTAAGAATTCTTGGGGTTCCTCTTTTTACTTCCTTTTTTTTTTTTTTAAAGCAGGTCACGTGTGGTTGTTGCATCATTCTTATGATGGGTATCTTCAAAGGAGAATTTTGCAGCATTTCTTTCTTTAAGGACAGCCTTACTTCACATTCACCCAATCTCTGGAAATCTGTTCTACAGCTGGGTCCCCTTAACCAGCAACAGCTTTCAGGCTAATCTTAAGCAGGACTTCCCAAAAAATCAGACTGCTTCTAGATTGAGCTTTCATGGCAGCACAGCTTACCAAAAAGGAATTTAAGAGTCAGAGTTAATATTATGTCTAACTAATGGCCACTTCCCTCCAAGAGGAGAATTTGTTCATGACAACAAAGGACTAAGCCCCATAAATAACAATTGTGTCAAATTATTTTATGGCTTTTTTCACCATCAAATGAATGTCTTTGTTTATACCAAGTGCCCAAAACGAATGCTGTTTGAATGCAAAGAGAACTGTTAAATTACTGAGAATTTTACCTCAGAGCATTACCTATTTGCAGGAAGACAATGCTACTTACCATCGAAGCTGCAGAGAAAACTGGAGGAAATGGGATTCCTGCATCTAATGGGACCTGAGGCAGTTTTCCTGGTCCAGAGTGTAGCAAGTCTCTGAGACTCGAACCTTCGGTTTTGTTGCTAGATGCAACTGGGCCCAACAGGAGGCTGTTAAACAGCTTTGGAGTTAAAGGGGAAACCTTTGCACTGGCATTGAAGGAATCCAATCCGAAGGGCGAGTGGGATTCTTTGCTGAGCACCGACCTCAGCGATCCTGCTTCTGTAAGCAAGAATTAGAACTGGGTGAGATGGAGCACCACAACAAGGAAAGGTCTGAGACAAGAGTTCAAAATAACACAGCTACTATCCTGCAGCAAGCTACAGCAGTTTACCTGAATGTTACAACTCAAGAATAGCATTACACTCTGTTGAGGTCCTTTCCGACCCTAGCATCTATGAATACGGGATGAAACACTCTTATACACGGTATTGTACACTGCAGGGAGGTGTTACCAAGAGGCTGTTATCATTGTGGGATAAGGCCTTGAGAAGTACAAAAGATAATTTTGACTTAAACACGTTTGATTTACAAGGAACTGCAACCTTATTTGAAACAAATTCCCCACCTGACCCACTCACCTTCCAAGTTAGTTCTGAATCCTTCACCACGAAAGCTGTAAAGATTACTGCCTGCAGATTTTACACACAGTCGAGAATACTACTGGGAATGTGACCTTTAGAACTAGTAAGCAACAAGAAGGAACAAGACTGTTTGGGAAAAGTTAACAACATCTTTCTATCACTCATCGTGATGAAAAAAGTTGCATGCTACAACTCCTTCACTCTACCTAAGCACAGTCTTTATGGGGGCCACCTTGAACCATCTTTATGGCAGATGTGTCCTGAAAAACAAATATTTCTGAAATGATGTTGTATATTCCGAGTTTTTTTCTTCTAAAACCTGCCTTGAACATTTAAGTGACTAGAAATTCCACTCTCTATTTTCCATGCAGGACGCTAACATCAATTTTAGCAGTTTCCATAAGCTACTTAACTGATACCAGAAATAAATGTTAAATTAGACCTGACATCATGTACCAGTGTGACAAAGCCTTCCAGAAAAGATACAGCTAACAGCAGACTAAAATGGGATAAATGTGATTAGGAATTATATGCTCTCCCTTTTGTCACCTCCACACAAGTTATTTCGAGATACTTTCCACATCCTTTAAACCTAGTAAAGAAAATGGATCCAAAGAGGGAAGTGAAGAGGAACGACCATGCCCTTTTCCATCTAACAAGATGGGACTCTCACCAAGGTAATACTGCAACCCTTTTCTACAAAAGGCTATGGGATAGATCTTTTACTTACCTTTTGTTTCTTCTTTTGCTTTCTGGGTTGCTAAATCAGCAAGCCAGTGCAAGGCAGATGAGGGGGTCGTTTCTGGACACAATGCCCTGTTAGTCTTTGTTTCGCTTGTGTTACTGGTTGGTGGCGTGTCTGATTTTGCAGACTCCTCAGTTCTACCATCTGTAGCCTCAGGTTTAGGACCAGTATCCATCTCTAGCTGTCCTGTCCCTGTTGCTGCATTGGAGAAGGTGCTCTCATTTCCAGAGGCAGACACAGTAGGATTTACACTGGGAAGCTAAAGAAAACATGCACATTTAGATGCTGACTTTAAAAAACCAAACTGCTCCCCCTAAACTGGAACAAATGAACATTTAAGCAGCTGATAACAGCAGAACAAGGCAATACAGTCTAGTGTCATCAAGGTAGAATGTGAAGCCAGAGGAAGGCCAGAAACGCAAGAAATCTACTCCAACTTTCACCCAGGAGGAGGGAGTGCTAAACTTGGAGTGGGGCTGCTGCATCTGAATCATTCTCAGCTTGCTCAGTCATAACATTGAGAATGCATCAGCAGCTGCCCTTTTGAAACATTCCCCTTTTGAAAGGGCTCCAAGTGATCATATGTCCACACCCTAAGAAACATCGACAGCATAATTTCGTTATTCATACTGATGTACAACGTGCCTTGCCGAGTTATTGCTATGCAGTGATCTCAAAGCCAAGGATACCACAGTAAATCATGTATGTAAAAAATGTCCTTTATCAGGCTTCAACTTAGTCATTACTGAATTGATTCAAAGTCTCCTTGTTCTTGTGTGATGAGGTAGAGAGAACAGTCACTGTAGACCAGGCACCATTCTATTTATTTGTACTATGTGTGCACTCTTCACCTCCTTTCTAAACTGAACAGTCCTCATCTTTTCAATCTCCCTTAATACAGGAGTTTTAACCAGGCACAAATCATTCATCCTTCTTTTGAGATCTACCCCTAATTCAGCAATATCTTTATGAGATAAGGTGACCTGTATTGTTGGAAGTATCCCATATTCCACTCAATAAGACAGCAAAATATTTTCTGTATTATTCTCCACCCTATTCTTTATGCACTGAGAATCCAGTTTCCTATTCTGCTTGCTGTTGTATACTGTGGAAATGTCTTAGTTATGGTAATGTTATGGTATCTTTTTAAGTTAATCTTGCAAGGTCAAGTCTGTGATCAAGTCCTGTTTATTTCCTTGCAGTTTTCAGAAGCCAGGCATCCTTTCCCATCACGTTACACCAATCTGCCCAACTCAGACCTCCTCTGGTCTCGACTTACTGAAACAGCCTAGTCTTATCTCCAAAACTTGGTGTCTCTTTATACGATCTGTCATTTCCACATCATCAACACACGAATAAAATGACACAGGAACTACTATGGAACCTTGCTGTTCATCTTTTGCACGATGAACGCCAACTATTAATTCTTCTTTATTTGTCCCATAACAATATTTTGTTTCTTGCTTATGATTATAAGCACTACTTCACAGTCAGGGCGGCTAGGATCTGGAATCAACTTCCAAGGGAAGTGGTGCTGGCTCCTACCCAGGGGGGCTTCAAAACAAGGCTAGATAGTCACCTTGCTGGGGTCGTTTGACCCCAGCATCCTTTCCTGCCCATGGCAGGGGGTCGGACTTGATGATCTGCTCGGGTCCCTTCTGACCCGACCAACTATGAAACTATTTTCCTTGGTAGCGTCTTGGAAAAAGGCTTTTCAAAGGTCTTCTGAAAGACTCAAAAGTTACATCAACAAGTTCTCATTTAGCACTATGCTGACAACATCAAGACTTTTAACAGATTAGTAAGGCACCGTTTTCCTTTGCACTATGGTCTACCTAGGTTATTATATTCAGTTTTTAATCTTCATTACAATCAGTTTGTTGAACAGCGATAACTGTTTTCAAATACAAGTAGAAGAATATTTGGCTACTTTCTAATTTTCTCAGCATAGAGGCTGGTTTTAAATGAGAGCTTGCATATTTTTGCAAGCAGCTCACTAAATTTGTATTTCAGCTCCTTCAGCACTGTGGGATTTACACTGTTCGGGTTGGGTGACTTCCTGTATTTTCAGTTCTCAATTCGGTCCAGCCTCTCTTTTGACATTCAGGTCACCAATAGTACTTCTTCCCCATTGCCAGAAAAGAAGAACAGGGATCTCCACCACCCCCTGTGAAGACCGATGCAGAGACCCTCTGTGGTCAAGACTGATACATTTCGGTGCTCAGTGCTGTCCTTATCCTTAGCCCTTTGAGACCCAGCAGTCCCAATTTTTTTTTTCGTGAGTTTCCTGCTTCTGATGCACTTAAAGAAACTCTTGCTGTTTATTTGGAGTTTGAAAAGTCATTAGCTAAAGGTGCGATTTCAGCCCTTCTAATGTCCTTCCTACATGCTTCTAATTTATACTATGGCTTTATTAGGATCCCATTTTGAAGAAGAATATCTTTTCGACTCTAGTGGACCCTCAACCCATTTGATCATATTGATATAGTCCTGGATTTCTAATCAGAGTTTTTGGTCACAAGTATTATTGATGAGATTTCCTTGCTGGTTTTTGAGAGTAGCATCCAAGCCACCACACTTTTTCTTTCATCTTTCAACTTCAGCATCTTTTCTGACTCATTCTATTTTACTGAAATCTTCACTTGTGTTAATATTTGACTCCTTAACTTCTGCTAGGACACTGACTAACTATAATGTGGTCAGTAGCATTCTTGATTACCGTGTTTCTGTTACTTAGCCTGACATATCAGCTTTACAACTAGCTATTTCTAAGGACAAACGCAACAAAATCAATCAACGGTTAAAATACTGCACGTCAAGAACCAGATTCTCACATTCTGGCCACTTATCTCACTTTACGGGGTTATATATGGATAGTTGAAGCTCCCCTGATCATCTTTGAATCTCTATTAAGTTTATTGAAAACAGCAAAATCAAATATACCATAACAAGCCTAACAGTTAGTAGCTGCTGAAGTAGTAAGACTTGCAATACACAGGAGGTTAGATTAGACGGTCTAATGCCACCCTTTGACTTTTAAAACTCTTCTCCAACACTCAGGGTCAAGTACAGTATTTCTACTCACAGACTCACTGCTTACGTACCTGTGACATCCCATTGGTGACAGCTGGTCTCAGTACGGATTTGTTCTGTCGGTTAATACAGGGGCAGTTTGCTTTAATTCCCCATTTGCCTCGTGCTGCATGCACCATATCTCCAATATTATAAAGGGCTGTAAGGAAAGTTAAATGTTTTGGTGATGGAGCTGTGTACAAATCTGGAAGAGACACTGACCCCAATTACTGCCATCTCACAGTGAAAGTCTTAAGGGTTGATGAAAGCCTCAAAACAAGATGCTTGCATACACTCTAGTGTACTGTGCAACAGTGCTCACGTTGGTCCTGAAAGCTGGTCCTGTCAGGGAGATCCTACCATTGAACATTTCCCTGCCCTTCAGGTAGGATTCTTCCTACTATTCGCTGTATCTGGTTACTGGTAGCATCTTTGAAAAAAAGATGACTGAGCCAAAACAAGAGCCACATGCTTTGGATGCATGTTATCCCCCTTTGGTAACAGCTTAGTCTCACACGAACTATTTTCACCTCAATTCCCAAGCTTCCTTCAGCAGAACACCTTCTTCATCCAGGCACCCTCCTCCCTGTCTCCACTAAACAAGACAACAGCTAGAAAACTTAACTATCACACTTCCTTCTCTCCTGCCTCTTGAAACAGGAGAAGTTATATAGAGTTTCCTTCTAGTTTCAAATATTACCTGTTCCAGGAATGATTTGGGTTGGCATAAGATTTTCTGGTTCATGAGACTGTCCCTTCGCACACTTCAGCCATGAGAAGACTTCCTCATCACCAATCTCCTCTGTTTCTGAAATGGTAAGAGCCAGACACACTTTACTCTCCTAATAAGTCAAAGAATATTTATTTGTCACTGTTTCAATGAGTTTCATCTCCGAGCTGCACGATCAACAACAAACCCATCCTGCCCTGGTGAGCACAGAACTAAGACGCTTCAGAACAAAATCCATGGCAGCTCCCAGGGGCTCTATTTTGCCCCTACCATCCACAGAAGGCTGTTAAGACCAGTCTTTTGCACAGAAGCGTCCACTGAGGCCACGCAGGCGCCTTGGATAGCCTCATCTCCTGCAGTGCGGGCATAACAGGTAGAACAACCCCCGTTTCTTTTCCCCTTCAGATCCAGCTGTTATACAACTCCAGAATCGCGTGGAAGAAGAAACACAGTCATACATGGACAAAGAATCTTGGATTTCAGTTACCAAACTGGTACGTAACTCTGCTTTCCTCGAGTACTTGTTCCTATACAGTTGACCCTTTATTCTTTCAGCAAACAGCAAAGCCAACCTTGGGGAAGCTGCAAAAGGTTCATCTCCTTGTAGCTAGAAGGATAACACTGTGGACATTTAATTTACATAGCCTAGCCTCTATTTTGGAAGACTGAGGTTAAGTGAAGAACCTAAGACAGCGTGTATTCTTATTTAAATAAAATTTCATTACTAGTTTTTCGGGAATTTGAGAAGGAAGGAGGGGACGGGCAGAGTTGAATTATACCCTGTCAGTGTAAAAATGGGCTGGGATCTCCCCAGCTAGTGAAACTGCTACAAAAAGGAGGTTTTCATAGATACATATACTAGGGAATAGGATACCACAAAGAGATTCCTTAAATATAGGTCCCATTAAATCTGAAAGGACAAGATTAATATTCCACAATGGGTACCTATGGAAATGGAACAGGCACCTATGGAAATGTACTGTGCTATAACTACTGTAGGCCTCAGTATCAATAGCAGGGATCTGAGAGTCAGTGACAACAGGAGAGATTCAGATTTCTCAAACTCAGCAGGATAGAGTACCCTGGTGTTAGACAAGAGAGCACCCTTAAGACCAGTGCTGCTCTTGAGGAAGTTAGCAATAACAATATGACTAGAACTAAGCACTTGACACTGATGCCAGCCAAAGTTACAGCATCGAAGACAGAGGCACCACAGCAGCTGAGATGGAAGTTACTTAGCACACACATGCAGTACTGATGCTCTGAAACTAGCTCCCTTCAAAGGTCCAACACTACTCCCAGTTCAGCTGAGGAGTCTCTAGAATTGTGGCTCAAGCATCTTTCTAGCAGAGGTTTTGTTGGGAACTGGTCTCTTGCTTCAACAAAGGAGCCAGAGGAATGCTTTCCTTCCTATTAAAATTTAGTTTTAATGTCCCTAAATTGATTTTAAGCCTGGCCATAGGTGACTGGTGTCTCCCAAGTCTGGAGGGGCACCAGATCACTGACGGGGAAGGGGGGTCCCCCAGTGGCCAATCGCCAAGCCAGGCGCTTCCAGGGGGTGCACAGCTGATCTCAGGGGGTGCGCATGCACCCTCTACGCATCGCCAATAAGCCTGGCTTAGGGAGATAGGACCCAAAGCTATCTGAGCCCACACTTTGATAGCTGGCGTTTGTTAGAAGAGGAGGGCTGGACTTCAATCAGCTTCAAAAGATTTAGTAGAAACATTTAGTAGGTCCCTGGCAGGCGCGCTACTGCTAGGGACTCTGCCCGTGGTGCTGCCTACCTGCAGCTCCTCGGAGGTCGCCACCCAAACGGAGCCCTGCCCCCCTGTCTGTGGGGGCGGCCTGGCGGGGACCCTGCAGTGGGGGGGGAGTGGGAGCCCTCTCACCTGTTCCTCTTGTGCCCACCTTCAGGCCCTAGAGGAGCAGGAGCAGGTGAGGGAACTCCAGGAGGCAGTGAGCAGGCTGAGGGGGATCAGGGAGGGTGAGGCTGTGATTGATGGGTACTTCCATTCCTTACAGCTCCAGATGCCTACGGGAGAAACCCCATGAGAGGGATCTGCAGCAAAGCAGTGGCAGACTGTCACCTCCGGACCCAGGCAGTAGGAGCAGGCGTCAGCTTCCCCATTGAGACTAGGGAAGAGGGATGAGGCCCTGGCAGCTTTGGTGGAGGATGCAGCAGAGGAGGCCGCAGAGGAAGTTGTCCCTGCAACCCCCAGCCCTGGACAGACTGGGGGACCACTGCCCAGTCACAAGAAGAAATGCCGGGGTCTTGGGGTGGGTGACTCGCTCCTGAGAGGCACAGAGGGACCGATCTGCCGACTGGATCCTATGGCAAGAGAGGTCTCCTGCATGTCCGGAGCTAAGATCAGCGACATCAGCGAAGGGATTCCTGATCTCATCCAGCCCTCCGACTACTACCCCATGGTCCTTGTCCATGTGGGCACGAACAATGTGGCTGGGAGTAGTCGTGACCACATCATGAAGGACTTCCATGAGCTGGGGGCCAAGCTTAGGAAGTCGGCTACAGAGATGGTGTCTTCAGGAGGGCTTTGGATTCTACAGCCACGATCAGCACTTCCAGGCAGGACGCTTCCTGGGATGGGACAATCTTCATCTCTCTCCCAGAAGTAAGCGTCTGTTCTCCCACAGGTTGGCTGATCTCCTCTGCAGAGCTTTAAACTAGGTTCGATGGGGGACAGGGAACCAGTGGTCGAGGAGAACCCAGGGTTGGCAAGCCACAAACAAGGCACTGGACCAAACCAGGTAAGTACTAAGGGGCACACTAGACATCAAGGCGAAGGGGCACCAAGAGCACCCGTCGGGGGGCTAACGTGTCTTTACACACACGCAGGAGTATGGGGAATAAACAGGAGGAGCTCACACTCCTACTTGCTAGCACCCAGTATGACCTGGTTGGCTTAACAGAAACATGGTGGGATTCTACTCATGACTGGGTGGTGGGCATTGAGGGGTACAGGTTGTATAGGCAAAACAGAGTGGGGAAAAAAGGCAGGGGTGTAGCTCTCTCTGTTAGGGAGCTGTACATATCTACCATCATCAAAGCAGGGGAAGAGGAGGGGAAT